CGCGATGAGTGAGGAGGCTGAGGAGCAGGGGCTGCTACGGGGAGAGACCGAATGAGCGGGGCGAGGACGGAGCCAGACATGCGATGTCGTGCCTTTTTCCATGCGCACTCCTGGGGAGTCCCGACCCTTTCCCCAGGATTGGCTCTTCATCTGGAGTCGTTTCGTGACGTTCCTGGGACCTTGCGAGGCCCCCTAAAGGCCGAAACCTTCGCTCTGATATTTTTGCGACGTCGGAGATCTGGGGGGTGGGAGAAAACGGGGGCTCGTCGAATTTTCGCTCACGACGGCCCGTTCAAACACGACGCCCAAACGAGATGAGGTGACGAGATAAACGGACGAACGCACGAAATCATGTACTTCAAGTTTCGAATGATGCGGACGTTTCGCCCCGAATCTTCGGCGCGGGGCTGCGGGCGCGTGGGGGGCCACTAAAAAGCAGTTGATCGGCAGCTGCTAGTTGCGTTTCGTCCCGGACTTTCGGCGCGCGACCCCGCGACGCCAGTCTGGCCTCTCGGCGCAAACTTACGCTTCGAACGCACCCCCCACCAACCCCACCACACGCGACGCCCAAGCAAATTCAGGTGTGCGCTTCTGTGCGAGTGTCTGTGTGTGATGCGTGTCTGCAAATGTCTGTGCGTGCTAGTGTCTGGCGTGCGCCGAGTGTCTCTGTGTGTGTGCGCCCGCCGTATGTGCATTTGCGTTTCCTAACTGGTATGCGTGCGTTGGTGGTGGTGGGTGCGCATGTCTGCGGCGCGGGTTGGGCTGTGTGACTGCGTGCGTGCGTTTGAGTGTGCGCCCGTAATGTCTGCGTCTGGAGAATGGCCCCGAGCGACCCGGATCGGCGGCACTGGCCGAAGGCCACTACAATAAGCCCACTGTCGCCTTCCTGCAGCGCGTGGCCACCGCGATCCCCACGTCGGCGAAGCGTCTCAGCAGCTTCAGAATCCGCGGGCGTTGGCCCCAGCGCGCGGGTTCAGGTGCGGGCCTCGATGCGGCTCGATGTGGGCCCCCCCCAGCTGGTCGGAGCACCACTCCAAGTACTTCTCGGGCTTCTCCAGAACTTGTCGAAAACGGTCGGGGGCGACGTCGGAAGCCTCCCGCGGCTGCACTGAGCACTGCAACGGGGAGACCTTGCCCTGCTTGAGAGGCTGGACGTTCGGCCGGTCCGCCTTGGAGTAGACGTCGCTGGTCTTGAAAAAGCTCTTGGAAGTCATCTCGAGGCCGAAGGTCGCTGGGCGGCGGGCCGCGCCGCGCCGCGGAGCAAACCGCTCGGCCGAACGCGGGCTCCTAAAAGGGAACAGCGTGGAAGTCTGGCGCGCCCGCCCATGCTGGAGGGCGCGCGACGCGCGAGCGGCGGCCAACGCACAGGCCCGAGACAACGTCCTCCGCGGCCTTCCGCGCCCAACCCCGCCGAGCACGACGCTGAACAGCCCGGCGGCCTGCCGCGCGCTCCCCGCTGGCCACCCCGAAGAATCTGAGGGGTGCGCGGGGGGGGGAGTCGCCCGCCATGGCGACGAACAACCCTTCGAGACAAAATCGCCGTCAAAACTGCGGCTGCCAGCGACGGGGTCGCCGACCGCCTGGAGCTCCGCCTCCGGGGGGGCGCGCGGGCGAAGCGGCCGGGGCTAAGTCTCCTTGTCGTTATTGCCGCCTCCGCCAGCGCTCCGCTTGGCCTCGGCGCCCCTGCCCTCGGTGCGCAGTCTGGCATTGCCGCAGTGCCTCGGGCCACCTCGATGCCCAGCACCCGCGCCGGGGCGGCCGCGTGCTCCTGGAACGACTCTTGCTCGCCGCCCTCGAGAGGGTCGAACGCGCTGAGCCGCCCGGCCATGTGCAGGCGGGCCGGGCACGGCGCATTCCGATGAAGGGGCGCGACCCGGTGCGCAGTCAAGTCCCTAAACTGCACACTGCGGTCCGGTGTCAACCAGATCAATGTGCCGCCTCTCACTGGGATCATCAGCGCTCTCACGTGAAGAAGGAATCGTTCGGCTGGTCGAAATAGACGGTCGCCACCTGGGACTCTGCCATGTCCAGGCTGCGGGCCATCAGCGGCGGCTGCTGAGCCCGAAAGGAGGCCGGGGTGGCTGCCGCGGGCGCCAGTGCCACGTCGCCGAAGTCGATCGCCAGCGTCGGCTCGTCGCGGTCAACAGCTGGCGCTTCCGCCACCCGGGCCCCGCGGAGCCTCCAAGCGAGCGAACCCGCGGCCACGGCCAGGGCCCCGAACGCCGCGTCTGCGGCGAAGGCCCCGAAAGCCAGACCTGGCTCGGGGCAGCGCAGTTCCGTGCAGCCCGGACAGATCGGGCAGTTGAGCCGCTCTAGCCGCACCTGTCCAGCTGGCGCCCCAGCGCGCCCACGATCTCCGAATCCACGGAGCAGTCCATCACGCATATGCCATCGGGGCAGCGCGGCGGGAGCCTGGAGGCCCCTGAGAGCCGTGTCCATCCCCTATGCCAGAGCTCCTTGAGCCGCAAGGGCCATGGAAGAGACATGTTTCGCCAACGTGAATACAACCAGGCATACAACCCGCAAAAACAAATGCCCTAACAGATTTCCAGAAACAGCCCCAGCGTTTTTATTTGCCATTGTTGGCCATCAGGTGCTTGACTACATACGGCATTCACACCCTTGCTCTGCATACTTCTAAAAGTATGTCTCAGGAGACCTGCGGGGCAATGTCAGATCTACCATTCTTCGGAGCTCATTGAGGAAACGCAGAAACGATTGCATAAACCGAGAATTGCAGAAGCCGCCCAGCAACTCGCCCGTCGGCGCGGCTGTACTGGGCGCGGAGCTCGGCGGCGGACCGATTCGGCCAGCGAAGCCGCCGCACGAAAGCCGGTTCCATCGCCGGCGGCGGGGGGGAGGCGAATCGCGCGGAGGAAAGCGACGCAAGGGCGCGGGCTCGCGACGAGCCCGCCGGCTCGGGCCGAGCTGGCGCCAGGGCGAAGAGGAGGGGGAAAATTATCCCAGTGCGACCCTACCTAGGAGTTGGAGCCCCTAGGAAAGCAGCATTAGTAGTAACAGTAAAACTAAGTTAAAGCTAAGCTACAGCTAAGCTACAGCTAAGCTAAAGCTAAGCTAAAGCTAAGCTAAAGCTAAGCTAAAGCTAAGCTAAAGCTAAGCCAACGCTAAACTAAAGCTAAGCTAAAGCTAAGCTAAAGCTGAGCTACAGCTGAGCTACAGCTAAGCTAAAGCTAAACTAAAGCTAAAGCTAAAGCTAAAACTAAGCTGAAGCTAAGCTAAAGCTAAGCTAAAGCTAAGCGAACGCTAAGCTAACGCTAAGCTGAAGCTAAGCTAAAGCTAAGCCAACGCTAAACTAAAGCTAAGCTAAAGCTAAGCTAAAGCTAAGCTAAAGCTAAGCTAAAGCTAAGCTAAAGCTAAGCTAAAGCTAAGCTAAAGCTAAAGCTAAAGCTAAAGCTCCCAGGGGACTGGGGGAACCGCGGGGCGGGGACCGGGGGAACCGCCCGGGGCGCTTTCCATTGCCCGGCCCCTTTAAGCTAAGAGAGTAAGAACCCTTCTAGGCAGAGCCTAGGTAGGGAAAAAGGAGGAGGGGGAGGAGGACGAGAACGAGGAGGAGGAGGAGGAGGAGGAGGACGAGGACTAGGAGGACGAGGAGGAGGAGGAGGAAGAGGAAGAGGAGGAGGAGGAGCGGAGGGGGGGAGAGGAGGGGGGAAAGGAGGGGTGGAGGGCGAGGTGGACGAGGACGAGGAGGAGGAAAAGGAGGAGGAGCAGGAGGAGGAGGACGGGGAGGAGGAGGACGAGGACGAGGGGGAGGACGAGGAGGAGGAAGAGCAGGAAGAGGAGGAGGATGAGGAGGAGGAGGAGGAGGGGTGGAGAGGAGCGGCGGAGAGGAGGGGTGGAGGGGCGCAGAGGATGGAGCAGGGGAGGAGGGGCGCAGGAAGGATGGAGGAAGGCTGGGGAAGCGGAGTGTCGTTCGATCTCCTCTTCCTCCCCCAAATCCCCCCCTCCTCGTTCCTCCCTCCTCCTCCAACCCCCTCCCATCCTCCCGTTCGTAAGGCTTGTCAATTGCACAATTTTCGTTTTGGCCTCGACCTGTACCCAGCCAGGACATTCCGTTTGCAGGGCAATGCGCAGACACACACACACACACACACATACATTCACACACACACACCTACCTGCCTGCCTGCCTGCCTGCCTGCCTGCCTGCCTGCATGCATGCATGCATGCATGCAGGCATACATACATGCATGCATGCATGCATGCATACATACATGCATATATACATACAATCAATCAATCAAACAGACAAACAAACAAACAACCATGCATACATACATACATGCATGCATGCATGCACGCATACACACATACACATACACATACACATACACATACACATACAGATACATATACAGATACAGATACAGATACAGATACATATACAGATACACATACACATACACATACACATACATACATACATACAAACATACCTACCTACCTACCTACCTACCTACATACATACATACATACACAGACATACATACACACATACATACATGCATGCATGCATGCATACATACACTCACGCACACGCACCTGTATAAATTGCATGCCCTCACCTTTTTCCGCATCAAGCTACTACATACAACGTAGTGTCTGCCGAAGACAACTCATCCCTCCCTCCCGTTTCTCCCGCCCTCCCTCGTCAAAGGTTGAACGGCTTCTGCCGTCCCTTGACTCGCGCTGAAGCGGCCACGATTTGCTCCAATGTTCCTGGAGATCTCTGGGTCTACCTGGATCTACCTGGATGGACCTCGAATCTTCCTGTATCCGGCTTGATGCCCAAAGTCGATTGGCGAAAAGTCGTCAAGCCTTGTGAGATCCCGCCCTCCTCTTCGAGAGCGAACCAAGGACGCGGCCTAGAAGAAAAGGCCCAGCGAGGGCCGCCCCACCTCCCTTGGCCAGCCGAGCGGCGGGGCCCGGCGCCGCGCCCGGCGCGACGCGCGAAAAAAACCCGGCGCGGGGGGCGAGGCTGCTCACCAGGGCGCCTGGGCCAACGGGTGTCCTCCTCCTCCTCCTCCACCTCCTTCTCCTCCTCCTCCTCCTCCTCCTCCTCCTCCTCCTCCTCCTCCTCCTCCTCGGTGGTTCAGCAGCGAGCGTTTTTTGGCCCTCGCCCGCACAGCTGCACCACCAGCCCCTCGGAGTGCGCCAGAGACGGGCGCGCGCGTGCGAGCTGCTTCGCCTGCCTGGCACCGCCGCCTGCGGCAGGCGAGGGCTGCGCGCAGCGGCGGCTGCGCCGTGAGAAGGATCAGCTTTTGCTCGTTGAGCATCACGGCAGCCAGCCGCCCATGTCGTGACACAACGGCGCCCCCTGGCGTAAGCGTGGCCCCCCCAATGGCGGCCGCTGGCTGTGGCAACCTGACGACAAAGGTGGCAGCCGTGGAGGAGGTGGCAAGGAGAAAAATTACAGTGGCTGCTCGCTCTGAAGTCATTGGGAGTGAGTTCGGTGGGGACATCACCAGTGCAGCAAATGCCGAGGCCCCTACGTGGGAAGCGGCGAAGGGCGAGGAGGCCCAGGCACGCCCCCAGCGGCGTGCCGCCCCTGCCGCCTAGACTGCTCAGCCCGTCGGGGCCGCCATGCCCGCAGAGCTCGCATCGCAGCTCCAGCAGTGGACGGGTGTTTTCCCCGCGCTGGTCGGCGCGGTGCAACGGGCTGCCGACCCCAATGGCTCCCGATATCGTCGACCTGTCCGTCCTCGAGCTCGATCGCCTGTCGTCCCAGCAGCAGACCAATCTTGCCGAACAGGTCGAGGCTGCCGCTAACGGCTCGCTCACCAGGATGTGGAATGGAAGCTTGACCGCGTCAACAAGACCCGAGCCCTTCTCGCTGAACACGAGGAGGCCCATGCCGAGGCTCTACCTCCCTTGGGCCTGGCCCAGGAGGTGGCAGCGGGGAAGCGGCCAAGAACCAGTTCGACCCCGACAAGTTCAAGATGGCGAAGCAGCAGGAGATTGCGGCCCAGCGCGCTGCCCAGGCGGCCGGCGGCTGCACAAGCGGCGGCCCAGGCAGCGGCGCAGGCAGCGGCGCCTCCAGGGTGTAGGTCCCTGCAGCCCCGCAGGCTGCGGCGGCACCCGCTCCAGGCGTCCCTGGCGCCCACCCTACTGCTCATGATGGCCATCATCCGTGCCCTGGCTGAGGCTGGCAGGCGGCGTTGACTTCGCCTACATCGAGGCCAACTTGCACGGCTTCGACGACAAGCAGCTGGATGTCCTGGCTCAGTTCACCAGCATCACGGTCGAGCAATGGCGCCAGTTTCGAGTACATCGCCAAAGGCGTCAACAGGGTGATGTTGTGGTCGATGATGCTAGTGGTGCTGGCAGTGAAGCTGGTGATCTACCCATGGGAGGCCGTGAAGAATATCGTGCACTCAAGAAACGTGTTGCTAAACATGGACTCGACGTCCGTCAGGCCGAACGCTACCAGACGCTCCTCACGCAGTTGCTCGAAGGGCGCATGGCCAAGCGGGCGAGGAAATTCCATAATCAGTCCCAAGAGGCGTTCCGTGCGTTTTGCGCTTCAGCTGCTCAGCGGCTGGTGCCAGGCCAAGCTGCTCCTGCCCAGCCACCCCTTTAGCGCATCCAGTGCCCCAGTGAGGGCACCGATGGACCCTGCCGCTCCCGCCACAGGCTCTGGCGCTGGGCCTCGGGACTTCTCGCTTGAGCCAGGGCCCCCTGACAATCGCGTTCACTTGAAGCTGTGCATTATCGCGGCCTGGTCCAAACTCGCTCGGGGCTGTCTTGCAACTAAGGTTACTGAGGGCGGCGGCGGCGAGGGGGCCGCGAGGCCCGCGCCTGGCGCGGCGGCCCTGGGCCTGCTTGGGTCCCTCCGCTCCGCCCGCGGAGAGTCAGCCGCCCGGGCCTGCCCCCCAGATCACCCAGCAAGCTCTCAGACATCCGGCGCCGCGAAAAGATCGAGAGGGCGGGGTGTTAACTTTTTCGGCCTCTGGGGGCCCTGACCAGGCCTGGGGACTGTCAAAAGTCTACTCGGGATGAAAACCCAAGGAAGTGGTCGAGAGGTCGGGGGCCCGCGTCTCAAAAAAATCGAGACGCCAGATGTCTGGGCCCAGCGGCGTCGGCACCGCGCGCGGCCCAGCCGGGCGTCGGAGGCAAGGAGGCGCCAGCTCCTGCTGGTGGAGCTCGTTCTGGTGGGGCTGGGGCGGAGGCGGAAGCTGGCGGGGGGTGGGGGGGCCCGGAGCTAAAGTTGCTGCCGGTGCGGCCGTGGCGGCCGCGCTCTCCGACGGCGACCCCACGGACGACTCCTGTGCCGACGGTCTGCAGCGGTCGGCGGCGCAGGCTGCGGCGGCCCGTCGGCGGGCCGTGATCGCCAGTGACGTGGTGGTCTTGCGACGCTGTGACTTCCTGGAGGGCACCGAGGTGCGGGTCGTCGCAGTCGAAGGGGATAGGGCCAGCGTCCGCCACCTCGAGGCAGGCGAGGAGGAGTCGAGCCTCCTCACAGGGGTGTTGCTCGATCTCACGGAGCTCGTCGCGGACGGCTGGGGGGGGGGACTGTGACGCGCGAAAGCACATCGAATGATATCCGACAGGATGGCGGCGGAGGAATATTTTCCTGAAACGCACGATAACCTCGGGCCAAGAGGGTGCCTACGGATAAACACAATACCAACAATCTGCCCTGGGAGTTCAAGATCATAGTGATAATATACACTGCATGAACTCATTTACTCAGTCCGCCCCATTTTAGTGAGCTTGAAACTCCACTAAATCAAAACTGAAAAGGGGCACCCTCAGACTGAGGTGACGTCGGTAACTCTTGGCCTGCTGCCATCAAATCGCACAGTGTAGTCTGACCGGGTCGGTTCCACCGACGGGGTCTGAAATGGGAGAAAGGAAAGAGACGAGGACGACGACAACAGCGACGACGGACCAGCAGACTCGGCCTCCAGCTGCCTAACGGATGCGGCTCGAGAACGGCCCTTGGACGACGGGTCCTGCCGTCGGTTCTCCAAGGCCGTGCTCTCGGAGGTGATCTGCAAAAGACCTGAGCGCAGCAGCTGCAGCTGCGCAGCGTTTGACTTGGAGAGGTCTGCCTTTGTCATCACGTCTACGGGCATCGTGGGATGTGGGACCCATCGAACTACTCCCCCAACGCGTCCTAGAGAGTCCCTGCACACTGCGAGATCGATCGCAGCTCTTCTGTCGTTCTTACTGCCAGAGGTCTCCTTATCCAACGTATCGAAGATGCCCTTGGCATCCACCACGCTGATATTTCCCTCGGGGGTCAGGTCCAGGGTACAGCTCCTGCGCAGCACTGAGGCAAAGGGGCCTATGTGGGATCTCCAGGAGTCGTCTAGAAGGTTGCCCTGGAGAACGTCGTAGAACAGCATCTGAAGCCACTCGGCCTCCGCGAGGGCCGCGCTCAGTGACTGAACCTCTCCGGCGAGCGTCGAAGGGACCTGACGTTTCACCCGGCACGAGCGCCATGCCAATGGGGTGACTCGGGCCCGGGACCCGCGGGACAAAGCAGCATCAGCTGCATATACTTGCCACGCTTGCTGGGGCTTGCCCCCGCTGTTCGCCGCGACTCCGCCGCAGTCGGAGGCCGTAGCGAACAGCATAGAACGAATATTGAAACGCCAAACGATGATAGGCACATTGGCAGTCTGACGAAGGTGGTCAACCATCTTATTCAGCACCACGGCGTCCCCGACGGTAGGATGCGTGACCCTACTCGCGAGCAAGGAGGCAGTTCCCGACGCCTCCGCTCGCGTCTCCCGACCGACCCAGTTGAGACGATACACCACGGATCGGAAATCCGAGATCTCGCGGCCGACGAGTGGCTCATCGTGGTTGGATCGACGGGCACGAGGGAGGGGAAGACGGTGTATCTGCTCCAGGATGTATTTTTCCTGATCCACAAGAATCCTATCATTAAGCCTCCTCAACCGGCGACCTATGTAATCTACCCCCGAAGCGTCGAGCCTCACCATCTTGCCAAAGTCGAAACGCTCTCTGTAGCTTTTTCAGCTCCTCGGCCTGGACGGAAGGGAGGTGGGCCATGCACCAGTCGTCCACCTCAATGAGAACCATGGACTCGGGACCCCGGGAACCTCTTTTCGTCATCCAGCACGGCTCCAGCTTGGACTTAACATACCCCCTCGACTCGAAAAACGACACGGTGGTGCGATGGAGAGCCAGTGGGGCGTCGTCCAGCCCATACACAGGGGCGATGAGCTCTATTAAGGAACCGGGGGGGAGGGATAGTCCCTCGCATGGCTCCACGAAGACTCTCCCACGGGGACGAACCAGGGGATCGCTCTGACAGAAAGCATTCTTAAGATCTCCGATCTGGATATCCATATCGAGCGCCAGAGACATCGTCAGGAACAACATAAGGCTCTCCATCTGAGGAGTGGGTGAGTACACTCGGAGCTCTCCGGTGTCCTCGTCTTCGTGACCCCGAACACACCACCGACTTTTGGCCTTGGGTCGCGAGAAAGTCCCCTCCTGCGGCTTCCACCTCCTCACCATGCGGCTAGACACGACTCGATTCGGATACCTCTCACGGAGCCTGCGACCCTCTTCGGGGGGAAACACCCGCACCGCTTGGGTGTCCATGATGGCTTTCCATTCCTTGGCGTCGGCCTCGTCGAACTCAGCCGCTTCCTCTGGACTCAGACGCTTCTTCGAAACTCCCGAGCCCCGCGAAGCAGCCAAGGTCAACGTTCCTGCCTCGGACCCTTCCCCCGGGACCAGCTCCACGTCGGCGTTTCCGTTTCCGAACTCCACCCAAGATCCGCTCCATCCCCTCTCGGTCATGCCCTCCTGAAGGGACAGAAAATATTGACCGAGCTCTTCTTCCGACAGAGACATGAGAACCACATCCGTCATGGCGTCGGGCCTCTCTTCGGAACCCGCCTGGCCTCGACCCGGAGACCTGGATCTGTTCCTTTCCGGGTCCGAAGCGGAAGGTGCCGCCGAACCGAGCCTATCCCAGTCGGCGATCATGCGACCTACTCGCCCATCCGAA